AAAAAATTTCAAGGGAAGGATGGAATATTATCTACTCCTTTGCTATTCAACACTTGAATCTTCTTTCTTAGAATCTTAGTTCTTCAAGTGAACTTGAAGAACCTCAAAATGTGATCCACACAAGTCAAGGAAGAGAGAGCCGAGAGAGAAAATGAGAGAGTGATTTTGCTTTAATTGATTCAATTCAATTAAAATGGTATAAAACTTAATTTATATACCATTGGCATAAAGTTTAATTTTAAATTGTTTTGGGAAGGCCTCAAACAATTTAAAATTAACTTGAGAATAAACATTTATGTCAAGTCCTTGGTTTTATGGTTAATTCATAATTAGACCAAATTTTAATTCCATTAAATATTCTAACCCTTTATAATAAAACCAATGCACTTTTGCCCCCATCATTGAATCCAATTCAATAATAATATTTAATAAATTCTTATTACCCTTGGTTAGTGCTAGCTATTCATGGATAATCATTTCTCACCAATACATTAATTCGGATGCAACCGTTTACGTCCAAACATCATTAATCTGATTAATGATATGTATTACTCTCTCTCCTTGAGCTTGGTTTTATGTGTGACTATTTTGGTTCACTATGATCTAGCCGTGAGCCCAATATCTGATTTTGATATGTTTTGTTATAATTCTTTATAATTGAAACTCCCACTGATTATGGTAGGCGTTTAGCAATGTTCTATAACTCCTAAACCACAATGAAGTGTAAACTCCAATGAACCTATTCTGATCGTACTTACCGTGTAGTCAAATCCCTTCGTTATCTAATCCCGATTAAGAATGGTTCATGGTATGTCAAAACCTTTAACTTAATCTTAATCGAATTGTCAATCGATACAATGGAACTCGTCAACATGGAACTACTTTCATCTTACATTCATTATACTCTGACCAGAGATTTCCCTTTTCCAATGTTTATTGACATTTGTCTGGGAACTCGAGATTTGACTATTTTGAGTTAACGGATCCCATCTTGACCATCACTTGTCCTCGCACATGAATAACATATGACCAAACCGGCTTATTACATAAGACATAACTAGTCTCGTGCTTATACACCATATGAACCATATGCATCCTATGTTGAATCCAACCGTGATGTCTCAGGTCTAAGAATCAGTGGTACACTAGCATGATCCTACGATGCATCATTGACCATATCCATGTGATTCATCGTAATCGGTCGTATTCGATAAACAGTTCACTAACCGTTTATCCATACTAATGCCTTAGTGACATAACTCTTATAATCATCCACACTAATATCATCACATGATATTCAATAGAGACATTCATCATGCCTATGTGCAATGTTATTGCCCAATTAACATTATTTGCGTAGGGAATTCTTTGATGATTTGATCTTCTAAAGATCCGTGTCATCCAGACATTTCACATGCAATATTAAAGATAATATAATATAAATGAAGCAGAAAATCAACATGTGAAATAAGAACACTTTCTTTTATTCATAATACATTTAGAAGATATAATGTCATGAAACCAACAACACAATTGGTTCCTAGGGCATACACTAACACATGTCAGTTGCGAAGCGACGTGACTTTGCTTTCAGCAAGAAATTTGCAAAGTATAATCAGGTCGTGAACTTCGGTCGAAGACCAGAATCATCGTTATGGCACTGAATAAGATCTAGAACAAGTCACGGACCTTAAGGAATGTCATTCCAGGTCGCCTGGATGGGAATGTTTCCGGACGTCTTTGCAACCAGGTCGGATCGACCAGTGTCCATTCGACGCATCAAATCAAGGCATAATTGTGTAGTTCTCAAGGTTCGATCCTTAAACCTTAAAAACTAGGGGACTTCTGTTATGCCTGAAGAAGTAGGGCTGACGCCAAGCCTTGTCAGCGTGGGCGGTCAGAGCTTAGGTAGGTTCTGCAGCCGTTCAGACACAGCCACGTCGCATGCTGACGTGAGCGGTGTGCTCCTGCCAGTGTAGTGGGTATGCGCCAGAGTGGCGAAAGGCTGGAAACATTTCACGTGTCCAATCCCTACACAAGTCGAGGAAATCACTCAAGCAGGTGAGCAACAAGACACAAAGAAGGATTTGCACGGCAATCTGACCCATTCACAGATTCAGTAATCATTACCTCAATTCATCCCACTATAAATAGAGGGCTCCTCTCCTGTTTATGGGATTAGTTAATTTTTCTCTGAAATAGCATACATTCTCTATCTCTCTCTCTCTCTCTCTCTCTCTCTCTCTCTCTCTCTTTCGTGTATTCACTTGTATTCTCTAAGCCATAAATCAGCTCGCTGAACGTGACCTGATCTCATATATTAATACAATACCAGTGGACGTAGGATTCGCTTATTTAAGCATCCAAACCACTTTAAACATTGTTCTTCACCCTTTAATCAAATACCCCCCATATACACGTGTGTCTTCTGAGTCAGCTCAGCATTTTCCACGTGCGATTAATTGATGTCAAAATCAAACATCAACAAAATGCTTTGCAGCAACTGACATGGTGTAATCCATCTTCATTGCAAATTGAGCTTTCTGTTTCAAGTCTTTGAAGATTATCTTTCCACTAGCAGTTGACTTTGATGAAAATGAAATCAAACTGCAAAAGAAACGAAGTCGGATCTGATTAATGTTCAAGGGAATTATCTTATCGTTGACATCTTCAAGTAATTATGGATAAGATTGAGATGCTTGAATTAAAGTCTGAACACTGAAATTGTGCTTATTCTTTAAAGAAAAGGTTTAAGTTGCCTTGTCAAGTTCCTTAAGGGTCGACCACCCCTTTTTGCATACCAGTAGCCACGAGATGGTCCCAAGTTATTGACATAGTGAAAACTGATTGGTTTGGATGGCATAATTTATTTATCATATAAAAGCTTTTTTTGTGTCAAGTGCCTAGATATGGGGACCCCATCAAATGGGGGCACATTTTTTTGTCACAGTTTTTTAATACCCTTCTGTTTGAGGCCTATAAAATGGCTTCTTAGCCAATAAATCTCTTCAAGAATTAAAAGACAGACAGACCAATTAGAAAAGAAGTGAATCTTTCAAGGCATTGATTGTTCACTCTCCCTCAAGGGCTTCCCTTCTTGACCTTGGCCATGAAAAAGAAGAAGTCCTTATTTCTGGCACATGGGGTTAAGGCTAGAAGACCTTGGGGGAGATCGAACAAGTGGTGTCTTGCTAGCAAAGAGAGAGTTCGAGTGTGTGGAACCAGGCGATCCCCAAGGCAGTTTCATTGCTCACTCTCCCTCAAGGGCTTCTGGCAATAGCTTAAAATTAGGCTAGCCCGAGGTCTTTGGGGAGAGTGGACAAAAGTTGTCTTGATAAATTCATGTAAGTAGCAAATTATTAGCAGCAATGCAACGCCATTAATGGCACACATTTCTCACTCTCCCTCAAGGGCTTCCGTATTGGCCTGTTCTAATCAAAGGCCTAGACCGAGGTTCTTGGGGAGAGTGGATAATGCTATGCCATGTCCTCAAGTCACGTAACACCCCCAAATTCAGCAGGTTATAAGTTAGAATTTTCTACATGGGTATTTTGTAAAACTTAATTTTATGCATTAAATAATTTACATGTGCAGGGTGGGTTAGTGCAGGCCTTTGCATTCATAGGAGCTTCTTTTTTGCCCTTTCAATTGGTCTCATTTGGTGGCCCATCACCAATCGAAAAACCGAAACTTTAGCAACAGTTAATTTGGAAAATGGGCAGTTGGATTCCACTTACAAGTGACTCTCGCTATATAGCTACAGCTACAGGCCAGTGGCAGGTGAGGTGTAAACGACTACCACCAACAGGGGTGGTCCCAAATTGATAAGTTATTCGATCAAGTAATGTTTGGCTTTGGCTCCTGATAATAACAAATGATATTATGAATCTGAAGTTGGAAATATGAAAATAACATAAGAAACTACAGAAGTTTTAGAGCTTATTTGGGGGGCGTGGGGACAGTGAGACTGAATGCTAGCAAGACATGTTGCATGTGATGTTCAGAGTATAGAGATGACCATGACCCACATGTCAGCTTCTCTCTCAAACTTTTGTTGAAAAATGCATTATCCTTAACCAAATAAAGTAGTATACGAACTGTGAATGAAATCACTTGTTGTCATATACCATACAACACAAAACTGAAAGCAGGAATCTCTCTTCTTTTGATCACCACATTGTTTGTTTTATCTCAGTGGGGGTCATTTCATTTCTAGCTATTCATCTATCAGCTTCGGCCTTGGCATGATGTTGGACCACTATGCTAAAAACAGAAACAGAGAAGCCCAATAGATTTACTGGTTCCAGAAGAGTCAGGTTGATGGGTATAATTTTTAATCTTTAAACAGTAAATCATATAGGCGATTCTGTATATTTATAATCTGTGTGCTAATTTACCTTGTTTTAGTATGATCTCCCCTCCTGTTTTTAATTTATCCCTTCCTTAGTTTATTAATATTTTTATGGTTCTTTCACCAATCATCTGGTTTAAATTGTGACTTAGGCTGTTAGGCATGCCATGTTCAAGCTTGTACGCTGTTAACCAATGGAAACCAGCCACACTTGCTCTTTAAAGAAGCGATAAGTCATATCATTGAGTAGATCAATCTACCGAAACTTGGCTTCAAACTTACAGCCGATATTCAAAACCTTTGCATGAGTAAAAGGAAAAAAATATGCAAGAATCGGGTTGAGAAAAAGAATGGTAATCAAATAATCAATCACTGTCCACTGATCACGTACCAGAGATGAAAGTATGAAACTGCAGGTTTAGACGTTGATGACTGCCAACAGAGGATAAACAGTGGTTTTTGTGATGCCCATGCTCACATTCAGTTCAGGCAGGGTGTTTTTCAGTGTTTCTGATTAATAGATGAAGATCAAAAGCTTCAGCGTGATCATTAATAAACTCCATAGAATATAAAGAACGAAACACATATATAAACAGACAGAGAAGGTTAATACCCCATTGACAATATAGAGGATCTAAAGGTTGCATCATAATGGCATAGATATATAATATAATTATTTATCCCAATACAAATCTCCCAAGAGTTCATCTCCTCAGAGAGAGTTTACTCATGGACAATTAATACCCCAACTAAATACATGTACAAATGTGCTACACGAGCCTGAGCCTCATTGACTTTCTTTCTACGATCACACTGAGGCTGACCCACTTCTGTGGCAGCACATTAAGCAACTTCCTGGTTCTTCTCCACGACTCTCACCCCATTGGCAGATCTAAGCAAATTAGCCTAACATACGATTAAACAACCAAACAACAAAAGAGAAGAAAAGTAAGCATAAATTATATATTTTCATATAAGAAAACTAGCAAATGCATTTCTAAGTTAATATCATCACCTGATCTTCAGTGATCTCTACGGCAAACCCATCAACAATGACCAAAGACAATGTCTTTCGGTAGCTTCCTGCTTCGAGCGTGCGGGCCAAGAGCTCATCATGCTTCTTACTCAGATACAAATCCAGCTGATTGGCTCCTCGCTTTGTTCTATAAAGACAATAAGACAGAGATAGAGATATATCAGTGAATAATATTAATGTCATATAAAAATAATAATGAAACGGAGAACTGACTGGTCAGCTCGAAGGCGCTGATACTCAGGATCATAGTTCATGAAAACAAAGTATAACTCAGTATTTGCGCTTCCCATTGCACTCTTCTTCTCTCTCTCTAGTTATTCTTTTCTTCTTCGAGCTAATATGAGTGTTCAATGTAGAAAGCTAAGAGTGACTTTCAGCTCCATGTGCTTGCTATTTATACATGAACATCAATTATTAATGTAGCCAAAAGTTAACAGAGACCCACCTTTTTTTTTTCGGATATGTAAGTGAAGATGCTTTCAAAAATTAAATTTGTTCCTACATCTAATTTCTTTCAAATTTTTGCAGTCAAAAATACCCCTGTACTTGATAAAATAACTAAGGAAGCATCGTATTCACACTTGAAGTTTCTCACCTAGGGTTCCTCACTGTAAATTAAAAAAATCTGTTGACACGCCAGTGGATCAAAAGGTCAACTCAAAGCAATTCAATATAATGAACAATGGGGGCGAATCAGTGTGAAATATTGGTGCAAAAAACTCCAAGGGTTCGATCAAATAGGTTTGATCATTTTCTTAAGTTTTTGAGTTCAAATATTAGGGTTAGTTATCACAATAATATTTTAATTCTTTAAGCTTTTAGAATATTCAATTAATCCTAAAAATTAGTTAAAATACGTATAAACTGACTGGATACTCAGATACCCAAAAATATATATATATATAAATATATGTGCAAAAAATATTGTCCTATGAAGGGTCATTAATGATGAATGTGAACCTTTAAGTTGACCCGAAAGGGAGCTTACGTTAATTCAACAAATTATACAGAATATGTTATCTTAACACTGGTTCCAATAAAGAGAACAATTAAACCCACTAATAAGTCTTTCTGTAATCATTCTTTTAAATAAGAACTAAGTTGTTTCAAGTCAAAGATGCAATTCACAACTCCGTATACTATAAACAATCTAGTCAAATAATAATATAATTAAGAGCCCAATAAACCCTAGATGATTTCTGAAGCAATCTACTATGAGAACTGACAGGGCTAGCTAGCCTAAGGTATTGAATTCAAAAAATTTCTTTGGTCAAAAAGGTCATTTAATAGAACTTCAAGTACTCTTTACCATCCCTGTATGAACTGAGCAGCGAGCAATGCTGATATATATGGAGACAATGAACTGAATGTAGTCAATGTACCATACTGCTGCAACAATGAAGAGAATTTACCCTCTACAATAATTTTTACAGAGAAGAGGATTTATATCATATCGATAGGATAGCCGATGATCTCTGGTTAGTGAATTGATAACTTCTCTTTTGTATTGCTTTCATTTTTTTTCTCTCTAGTTTTCCAGGCTATATTTTCGGGCGCATAACACAAACTTTGGTGTGCAGCTCACTTTCGTGGCATCAGTGATCAGCTGTCTGAGTGACCATTCGAATATTTGTATCAGGAAAAGCTAGCAATTAAATCATGGTTCACACAACCAAAAGGAGACCGTCGTTTTTCATATATATATATCTATGTTGGACGGTTTGACCAGTCAACAGACTCCAGTCCAACATGACATGCGCTCTTCAGTAGAATACAACAATTACAGTATATCATTCCATTATTTATATACTGAAATACTTGCTTTAATTATGACACAGTACCATTGACTGTTCAACATGTAGATTTGAGATTTTAGGGCGGTTGTATGGTTCCCATGTCTGATTGACTGTTGAATCATTATTCATTAAGAACTGTCGTTAAAGTTTCAGTTGTGTGACTGCGAGCAGAAACCATGCATATATAGCCATTCATTTTTAATATAAAATGGCAGTTTCATATTTATTGCTTCCACTGTATGAGGATGGGCCTCCATTGTGCACTGTTAACTACAAGAGAGTGCCTCTCAGAAACATCCCTGCAAAATCTTGAATCTTCTCTCTGAAGAAATTATGGATTTTCAATCAACGAGATGATAAGATTACTGTTTCAATAATGTTAGGATATTGAACAGCACATGAAACAGGGAAAAGCTAGAAATCTAAATGAACTACTGATGTTGATACCCCAGGCCCCCCACAAACAGATGAAAAATGGTACATTCAGGGGATGCAAAGCCTGTGAACTTGGACCGAAAGGTACAGTAAATTAGTATTGTGTGGGGGAAACACCATCCAGAAACCTCCACGTGTGAAACAAAGAAGAGGAAGGAGGGGACCCCTCATAGATATACCTATAAAATTAAAGAGAGAGGCATAGATCTGCAAGATAATTGACAGATCTGGAGTCCGTGTCTGGAATTTCATCAAAAAAAAAAATTGTAAATAATTACTCGTGTGTTTTGCTGTCAGTCACTTGGTGGTCCTCTTTCTCTCTCTGTATCATTTTGGACAAAGCCTTTAATCCAAAAATGGTCTTGAATTATCAAAACTTAATATGGTGGACGATCCTTTGCTTTTAACGTAGGGCAATGTAATTTAATTGATAATTAATGCATCTTCTATTTTATAATATAATTTTTCCACCTTGTTTAACAAAACTTATGTACATTAATAAATTAATGTAGAGTAAACGACTTTTTCCCACCCAAGATTTGCTACTTTTTCACCCAAAAAGTTTTAAACTACTACTTTATATTTTGTTACTATTTAAAGCCGATTCCGATAATAAAAATTCTTTCTGTCACCACCATTTGAACATTTGGTCTCCTCTCTACAAAATCTCTCTTACTCCGACACTAGATTTCTTACCAATTATCGGTCACCGTAAAGTTAGGGTTTCTTGTTCTTAGCTAGTTTTTGACTGATTTAGGTTATGAATATTCAATCGATCACCACTATTCGATCCATCAACCTTCAGTCTTCTTATCCTGGCTCCTAATAACTTGTCAAACAACGTCTGAGAAAGTGAAATGTATTTTTGGTTTTAATAGAATATAAACTTTAGGTGGGAAAGCGTCATTAAGGAGAAGAAGTCGTTCACTCACAAGTAGACAAATGCATACTTAGATGCATGCTTTCTTATGTCTCTTTTTTATGTCACAAATCATCGTTAAACACTAAGGATCGATGTAGTTGTCTTGTGGTGACAACTTTCTTGAGTCATTCACGGTAACTATCAGTGAAATTGCTTAAGAAAATAAATACATCTTAAATTAATTTGATTTTCATATGTTAATACCAAGTTAATTCTAGCTTTGCAATCACGATCACAAGTAGCAAAAGGATGAATATACTTATTACTTCAATTAATTTAATAACATGCACAATGAAATTCCCTCAGTAATTGCATCTATATATGCTTTTTTACAGTGAAAATTAAAGACCCTCGACATAATAAAATTTATTCAAGCAATTAAGTTTCCTTAATTATAACATCTCCAATAAAGAGTAGAACTTGTTCTATTGAAGGCCTTCCCCCGGGTGGCTGGCTTATACATCCCAATGCAATATCCAAAATCTGCGAAGCTCGCATCCTCTCTCTGGGGTCAAGATCAAATTCAAAAAAATCGACTTTGCCTTCTTTAATATCTTCTTTCATTTCTACTATGAGCCTCTTGAAAGTTGGGAACCTGGACCCTGCTAGTATGTCCATTATAACTACACCAAAGTTAAATATGTCACCTTTTTGAGACAATTCTTCACAGTAGATGTTGTAAGCCGGCACTTGAGGAGGCTTTACTTGCCGTTTGCCAGGAACTTCAACGCGTTCCGCCAGTTGGGTGAAGCCGTAATCTGATAAACAGGCGGAGAGGTCGATATTTATCATGATATTGGAGGATTTTATGTTCCCATGAACGTTCATTTTCGTCTTCCTTCCATTTGGATTCTGTTTGTGTATGAACTCTATTCCTCGTGCAACGTCGAGAATAATCTTCAGACGTTGATTCCAATTCAAGGCTGTATGGCCGTACTTCCTTCCACCTGAATCAGTAGACATGTTTTTATTAACCTAAAGTTAATTAAAATTAAGAGATTTCTAAGTAGTTATATATAGAAAACTCACCAGCAAGAAGGTCAGCGAGGCTTCCCATGGGATAGTAATCATAGAGAATAAACTTGATCCTCTTGGTATACAAATAAGCTGCGATAGGCACAAGATACTCACACTTTTTGCTAACCTGAGCCAATTTCTCAACTCTTTTACCGAACTCGGTTCTGTGAACAATCGTCTTCCTAAACCTCTTCAGAGCAAACATTTGACTCTTCAACAAAACAACCTTTTCAGTCATCCCCAAAGGGCTCTCTCCCATCACCCCAACCGATGATCTCACCACCTCCTTCATCGTCATTTGTTTCCCAAGATAATTCCCACAACAAACCAACGATAAATCATCGATGAGCCCAATTAAGCAGTCCTCGTATTCATAAATGGATCCCGATCCTGAGTTGCTTTGATCTCCGTATTTGAAGCTCCTTCTACGTTCTGTAATGGACAACATATTCGAGAGAGGGTTGTGAAGTGAAGTGCATAAAGTTTTGGAACCGTGGGTTGCTTTTTTGTGGCCTTTTGATGGACCTTTTTGGTTGTTTTTTTCCTTCATGGATAACATCGAAAACAGGGTATTGGTACTTTGTTTTGTGTTCTTCTGGATTCAGAAGATCCCGAGAAGAAGTCCATTGAAATTCTCCACCGAATTTTTTGATAAACCAATATGATTGGTTGTCCTGGCTTATTAAATTTCTTTGTTTTGTTACCAAGATTCTTAAATTCTGTGTCTGTCATTCTACCATAGCCGACTCTACGTCAAATTCTTCTTTGCAAATTGGAATATCATGAGCGTTTGATATTTAGCGTTTTATGCAAGCAGTAATGTTTCTTAAACGACGGACGAAATACAAAGAAATCGGCCCAAAGAATCTGACGAGCCCAAGTCTGAGGCAAGCCCAATTAACCTTTTCTTTTTAATTTTATTAGATAAAGAAGAGGCCCAGCCAGCTTTGACCATCAAGAGATCGAATTACAAATAGGAGTTAGGGGTGAGCGACGTCGGGTACCTTGTATTTTTTGGGGTGAGTAACGTCGGGTATCCTATATTTTTCAAGGGAACCGAAACTAAAACTGTATAGTGTAAATTCCCAAAAAAAGAAAATGAATTACCCTCTATTAGTTTAAAAAATAACAAAAATATCTTAAAAGTTTACAAATTAACCCCTAACAAATTAAGAAAACTCACATTTAGTAGTTTTCAACTTTTGATTACTCATTTATTTGTGTTCAATGTGACTCATAAATCCTTTAATCTCTAAGCAACACTTGAATTAAATCAATTCATCACAATTAACATAAAATTTATCAATTAAAACCGAAACACAAACATGTTCCAAGCAAGTTCCAAGCCGAGTATCCGCTTTAGGTTCTTTTCACTAGTTCTGATTTCAAAACCTGTAGGAATCGGGATCGAAACTGCACAGTGTTGGTTCAACTAAGATCATAATAGAAAGATAAGGTAATTAAACTAGTATTCTTGATTAATTGAATTTCCAACAGGATTGTATCTTCACCACCGCACCACTCCTATTAGAGATGAGCATGAGTAATGGGTAGAACTCGAACCTAAACTAACTCAAAAAGAGCAAGAAGTCTAATTATATATATACACTATTATAACAACTCACTAAATTGAGGACATGAGACAAAAACAATTCCACCAGAAGATAACATTATGTAATTGTAAGATTAATTATCTTTGGGTGATTAAATAATTCAATATAGGCTCGTAAGTATATTATTCAAAAAATCTTGAATCAATTCTTCGATTGCTAATAAAAATAGTGATTGAATTTATCTTATGATAATTTTAGGGTTTTAAATAATTAATTAAGGTACGAGTAGATTGGCTCGAAAACCTGTTTATAAAAAATAAAAAAATTGTGAGATTGATTCCTGGGTTGACTTAAGCTGGCACAGCTCCTCGTTGAAACAGGTGTGCGTTGGAAGAATACTGTTGGATTGAAAATTGAAATGAAAAAGACGTGGAAACAAAATTGATTTGGATATACATACAAAATATCCCGCCTCGAATCACGAGCAAAGCACGTGCAAGCTAGTGCCTAGTAGGCTTACAATTAACTAATTAAGTAATTAACCTTTCAATTCACTTCTTATTTTCTAATGGTTTAATGGAATGAGATCATTTACGCGGCTGTTACAAATAAGTTGATCACCACCCGTCCACTCCCATCCCACGTTCTTTGGTCAATTTCCTTAACGCGTTCTTTTTCATACGAGGTCCGAGGACACGTCCCCACTGACGTCACTTCCCAATTATCTCTCACACAATTACTTTTCACCCCATTCCCCTATGTCAAATTTGAAATATTTCGCTCTAATGAAGACGATTCTGATGGCAAAGAAGTAAATATAATGAATAACGAACCTATTGAAAAAAATCTCGGGCAGCACCCAGCCAGTAACTATCGTCGAGAAATGTCAACCTATTATCGTGTACGCTAAGCCTACAAGTTACAAGGGTTACATTACCTCCTCAAGGTTTAGAAAGTAACAAAAAAACCCCCAGAATATCGCTCACAGGAGTCACACCTATCAAATATATGGGTTCACTGGTTACTTTCCTCCAAGTTGCAACTGCTAAAATTCAAATGTGAACCCAAACACACATCAAGACACAGAGCCGAACGAACCGCAAGTCCTCTACTCCTGACACGTGTTTGGAAAGTCGTGCTTCCCGCTGCCCGTTTTTCAATCCTTTCGTAGTCAACATTCCACAAACAAGCTGCCCAATCTTTATCATCTTACCTTCGTATATAAATTATTCAAATTGCCATCACATTTTCATTAACTCTACAAAATGGGCAAGCATCTCCTCCTCACCGTCACAGTGTTCTTCTTTATTCTTGCACTCTCACATGCTCGTACTCCGTTAGATCTGCCAGAAAATGAAGGCGTCGTTAGCGATCTCGCAACTGATTTGACAGAATCGAACCCCAAAACAACCGCTACCGCCACAAGGACGATTATTCTTCCAAGCGAGAAGCCCAAGACCGAGTCTGAAACCGAAACTGCAGCGGATATCGAATCCGAAAAGACTCAACCGGGAAAAGCTGAATATGAGACCAACGAGTTTCAGCCGTTGACTGTGAATAACTTCCGTCCATTAAACCGTCAGTTCCCTCAACGTCCATCGCTCGCACTCCGTCACCGTCGCCCCTGCCGTCAGCACCGTTTCGGCAAGCCATGGGGACCATCACGGTTCCCTCATCGCGAGATACCGTATGGTAACGACATGTTGATGTCATCATCATCAGTTGAGGAGAAGGAGGTTCATGAGATCCCCGCGAGGTGGGTGAAGTTTCACCACAGAGATACGAGTGGGCCCAGGTTCCCATTCTGGCGTGATGATGGCGTAGCGAGGGGTGAGGACTTCAAGAGGCTACATCACTTCCACCGCCACCACCACCATCACCACCACATGGAAGGAGAGGCGAGGGAGGGGAGAGAAGGACATGAACACGAGCGTGGATTCTTGGTGAAGATCCGCAAGTTCTTGAATCATTTTTAGAAAATGAAATACTATAGTGATGCTGATGCTGATGCACCACCTTGTTTAGGATTGTGTGCGAGCGTTTCTACTATTAGTTGTTGAGTTACTGGTTTGCTTGTATGTATGTTTGTGTCGTATATAAATAATTTTACGTCTGTCGAAGATGTAGAAGGATATACGTGCATTAGCATGTTTCTTTTATCGATCTTTTGTAGTTTATACTTGTTGGATTGTTCTTTCTCTTTCGCTTTATGAATTATGATTTGATTTCTGGAGATTATGTGTTGCGAAAGTGATATTATTCATTGAATTGATGCATAAACTCATCAAACTTTATTAATAATTTGAATTGAGTTGAAAAATTACATGAATAAATAACAAATCAGACGTAAGTAGAACATGAGCCAGTCTGTTGGGAGCTGGTCAGTTCAGAACAAGGCCATGGTTTTACCTGATAAGCAACTCCACTTATATCAGAGCACTTGAAAGGAGGAGATGTTGGTCCTTTGACACCATGAAGGTTAATGTCGGAGAGGCAAATTCCGGTGAAGGGAGAGTTCTTCAAGCCTTTTATTGAACCCGAATCTAGGACCTTCACACCCCAAACATTCTTAATTGTGATGCCCTTTACGACTGGGAGAGCATTGGGGTTGAAGTTCTCGTCCGGGTGATCGCCAACATCTCCTGCTATTTTTATTCCCTTCCTGGCACCTTCCATATACACACCAGACACCGTGATATTTCTTATAAATCCTCCCCTACCAATGTTTGTCTTCACATGTATACCAACTCCCACATTGTAAAGGTTAATGTCTTCAGCCAAGACATTCTCTACTCCGCCAGAGGTTTCACTTCCAACTGCAATTCCAGCAAATGGTGACGATCCTGTAATTCGCCTGATGACGATGCCAGAACTAGGACGACCATAATTTATCCCATATTCATCCCATCCACTCTTCACAGCCACAAGATCATCTCCAGTAGAGATGTAAGAGTCTTCTATGCATACATTAGAGCTTGAATCTGGCAAATCATTCATGAAATTTTGATTTCAGTAGAAATTAAAAATGACCATGCTCAATATTTATCATGCTTTCTAAAAACCCCTGTATTGAATGTGGTATTATCCATAGAAGTGAAAGACGCTTAGGTCCTAGGGGTGAACTACAAGAACTGCATGAACAGAAATAACAAATGACCCTAAACCCTAAACTGTTTATCCTATTGTTAGCTATTGCACAAAGTTGCTACAAAGGTTTTGTTCCATCTATTGGGTATATACTTCTTACCATTATATGGAAGTATAGGAATAAAATAAACGAACAACAAATCTTGCATTTAACAAGATGAGAATAGACAACACTGCATATAAAATCACAATAAGTATCTCCAGGCTCTATTCCTTTTGTTGTGCAGCATGTACTTACAATGCCAGAGCTCTAGCAGCTTGCAAGTACTCTGTCTGTTGTTCTTGTCACATTAGGATAATGTTTGGCAATTCTAGAATTTCTGCTCATGTGTGTGTATGTGTGGTTAAATTTAGAAATCAAACCAGAGACAAACAGATATCAATAACAACTTTGCACAAAAGCAAATACCTGGATCAATTCCATCAGTATTGGGAGAGTCTAATGGAGCCAAGATAGTAACATATCGGATAACGACATTGCTGCAAGAAAGAAGAAAGCATCAAACCAAGTTTCAACTCTACCTTGTAATAATTATTTCAGCTGAATCAAAAGGAACTGGGTAGAACTCAAAGATGGTTGAGAAAAGTTCTATAGTCTCTCACCATTCAGGATAATGAAATCAGCTCATAATTCGAGTTTTATTGGTAACAGTAAATCAGGCACTATGAAATCCACAGATAACAAGAATGTGCAAGGGCAACCACATACTTTAAGACTATTTTCTAGCTTGGATTCTGAGCTTCTAATGTAGCTCCTTGATTACAAATTCAAATCTCTCATTGATTCAAGACCACAATCTTTCATTTCATTTACGTGAATGGCCACCGGAAAACAGTTAAATATCAGTGCCTTTCTACAAGTAACACCAACACATCTGGACAACCTCATATCACATATATAGTAATGAGTTCAGTGTATTTAGATAATAAAACTAATATTTGGTGATTACCTGCAATAAACAGGATGGATGTTCCAAAAAGGAGAATTCTGAAAGATCACATTGGAAATGATTATGCTTCTAGAATTCTTAAATTCTATGAGATTGGGTCTTGTAAAGGGAAGATAAAAGTTTACAAATTAACCCCTAACAAATTAAGAAAACTCACATTTAGTAGTTTTCAACTTTTGATTACTCATTTATTTGTGTTCAATGTGACTCATAAATCCTTTAATCTCTAAGCAACACTTGAATTAAATCAATTCATCACAATTAACATAAAATTTATCAATTAAAACCGAAACACAAACATGTTCCAAGCAAGTTCCAAGCCGAGTATCCGCTTTAGGTTCTTTTCACTAGTTCTGATTTCAAAACCTGTAGGAATCGGGATCGAAACTGCACAGTGTTGGTTCAACTAAGATCATAATAGAAAGATAAGGTAATTAAACTAGTATTCTTGATTAATTGAATTTCCAACAGGATTGTATCTTCACCACCGCACCACTCCTATTAGAGATGAGCATGAGTAATGGGTAGAACTCGAACCTAAACTAACTCAAAAAGAGCAAGAAGTCTAATTATATATATACACTATTATAACAACTCACTAAATTGAGGACATGAGACAAAAACAATTCCACCAGAAGATAACATTATGTAATTGTAAGATTAATTATCTTTGGGTGATTAAATAATTCAATATAGGCTCGTAAGTATATTATTCAAAAAATCTTGAATCAATTCTTCGATTGCTAATAAAAATAGTGATTGAATTTATCTTATGATAATTTTAGGGTTTTAAATAATTAATTAAGGTACGAGTAGATTGGCTCGAAAACCTGTTTATAAAAAATAAAAAAATTGTGAGATTGATTCCTGGGTTGACTTAAGCTGGCACAGCTCCTCGTTGAAACAGGTGTGCGTTGGAAGAATACTGTTGGATTGAAAATTGAAATGAAAAAGACGTGGAAACAAAATTGATTTGGATATACATACAAAATATCCCGCCTCGAATCACGAGCAAAGCACGTGCAAGCTAGTGCCTAGTAGGCTTACAATTAACTAATTAAGTAATTAACCTTTCAATTCACTTCTTATTTTCTAATGGTTTAATGGAATGAGATCATTTACGCGGCTGTTACAAATAAGTTGATCACCACCCGTCCACTCCCATCCCACGTTCTTTGGTCAATTTCCTTAACGCGTTCTTTTTCATACGAGGTCCGAGGACACGTCCCCACTGACGTCACTTCCCAATTATCTCTCACACAATTACTTTTCACCCCATTCCCCTATGTCAAATTTGAAATATTTCGCTCTAATGAAGACGATTCTGATGGCAAAGAAGTAAATATAATGAATAACGAACCTATTGAAAAAAATCTCGGGCAGCACCCAGCCAGTAACTATCGTCGAGAAATGTCAACCTATTATCGTGTACGCTAAGCCTACAAGTTACAAGGGTTACATTACCTCCTCAAGGTTTAGAAAGTAACAAAAAAACCCCCAGAATATCGCTCACAGGAGTCACACCTATCAAATATATGGGTTCACTGGTTACTTTCCTCCAAGTTGCAACTGCTAAAATTCAAATGTGAACCCAAACACACATCAAGACACAGAGCCGAACGAACCGCAAGTCCTCTACTCCTGACACGTGTTTGGAAAGTCGTGCTTCCCGCTGCCCGTTTTTCAATCCTTTCGTAGTCAACATTCCACAAACAAGCTGCCCAATCTTTATCATCTTACCTTCGTATATAAATTATTCAAATTGCCATCACATTTTCATTAACTCTACAAAATGGGCAAGCATCTCCTCCTCACCGTCACAGTGTTCTTCTTTATTCTTGCACTCTCACATGCTCGTACTCCGTTAGATCTGCCAGAAAATGAAGGCGTCGTTAGCGATCTCGCAACTGATTTGACAGAATCGAACCCCAAAACAACCGCTACCGCCACAAGGACGATTATTCTTCCAAGCGAGAAGCCCAAGACCGAGTCTGAAACCGAAACTGCAGCGGATATCGAATCCGAAAAGACTCAACCGGGAAAAGCTGAATATGAGACCAACGAGTTTCAGCCGTTGACTGTGAATAACTTCCGTCCATTAAACCGTCAGTTCCCTCAACGTCCATCGCTCGCACTCCGTCACCGTCGCCCCTGCCGTCAGCACCGTTTCGGCAAGCCATGGGGACCATCACGGTTCCCTCATCGCGAGATACCGTATGGTAACGACATGTTGATGTCATCATCATCAGTTGAGGAGAAGGAGGTTCATGAGATCCCCGCGAGGTGGGTGAAGTTTCACCACAGAGATACGAGTGGGCCCAGGTTCCCATTCTGGCGTGATGATGGCGTAGCGAGGGGTGAGGACTTCAAGAGGCTACATCACTTCCACCGCCACCACCACCATCACCACCACATGGAAGGAGAGGCGAGGGAGGGGAGAGAAGGACATGAACACGAGCGTGGATTCTTGGTGAAGATCCGCAAGTTCTTGAATCATTTTTAGAAAATGAAATACTATAGTGATGCTGATGCTGATGCACCACCTTGTTTAGGATTGTGTGCGAGCGTTTCTACTATTAGTTGTTGAGTTACTGGTTTGCTTGTATGTATGTTTGTGTCGTATATAAATAATTTTACGTCTGTCGAAGATGTAGAAGGATATACGTGCATTAGCATGTTTCTTTTATCGATCTTTTGTAGTTTATACTTGTTGGATTGTTCTTTCTCTTTCGCTTTATGAATTATGATTTGATTTCTGGAGATTATGTGTTGCGAAAGTGATATTATTCATTGAATTGATGCATAAACTCATCAAACTTTATTAATAATTTGAATTGAGTTGAAAAATTACATGAATAAATAACAAATCAGACGTAAGTAGAACATGAGCCAGTCTGTTGGGAGCTGGTCAGTTCAGAACAAGGCCATGGTTTTACCTGATAAGCAACTCCACTTATATCAGAGCACTTGAAAGGAGGAGATGTTGGTCCTTTGACACCATGAAGGTTAATGTCGGAGAGGCAAATTCCGGTGAAGGGAGAGTTCTTCAAGCCTTTTATTGAACCCGAATCTAGGACCTTCACACCCCAAACATTCTTAATTGTGATGCCCTTTACGACTGGGAGAGCATTGGGGTTGAAGTTCTCGTCCGGGTGATCGCCAACATCTCCTGCTATTTTTATTCCCTTCCTGGCACCTTCCATATACACACCAGACACCGTGATATTTCTTATAAATCCTCCCCTACCAATGTTTGTCTTCACATGTATACCAACTCCCACATTGTAAAGGTTAATGTCTTCAGCCAAGACATTCTCTACTCCGCCAGAGGTTTCACTTCCAACTGCAATTCCAGCAAATGGTGACGATCCTGTAATTCGCCTGATGACGATGCCAGAACTAGGACGACCATAATTTATCCCATATTCATCCCATCCACTCTTCACAGCCACAAGATCATCTCCAGTAGAGATGTAAGAGTCTTCTATGCATACATTAGAGCTTGAATCTGGCAAATCATTCATGAAATTTTGATTTCAGTAGAAATTAAAAATGACCATGCTCAATATTTATCATGCTTTCTAAAAACCCCTGTATTGAATGTGGTATTATCCATAGAAGTGAAAGACGCTTAGGTCCTAGGGGTGAACTACAAGAACTGCATGAACAGAAATAACAAATGACCCTAAACCCTAAACTGTTTATCCTATTGTTAGCTATTGCACAAAGTTGCTACAAAGGTTTTGTTCCATCTATTGGGTATATACTTCTTACCATTATATGGAAGTATAGGAATAAAATAAACGAACAACAAATCTTGCATTTAACAAGATGAGAATAGACAACACTGCATATAAAATCACAATAAGTATCTCCAGGCTCTATTCCTTTTGTTGTGCAGCATGTACTTACAATGCCAGAGCTCTAGCAGCTTGCAAGTACTCTGTCTGTTGTTCTTGTCACATTAGGATAATGTTTGGCAATTCTAGAATTTCTGCTCATGTGTGTGTATGTGTGGTTAAATTTAGAAATCAAACCAGAGACAAACAGATATCAATAACAACTTTGCACAAAAGCAAATACCTGGATCAATTCCATCAGTATTGGGAGAGTCTAATGGAGCCAAGATAGTAACATATCGGATAACGACATTGCTGCAAGAAAGAAGAAAGCATCAAACCAAGTTTCAACTCTACCTTGTAATAATTATTTCAGCTGAATCAAAAGGAACTGGGTAGAACTCAAAGATGGTTGAGAAAAGTTCTATAGTCTCTCACCATTCAGGATAATGAAATCAGCTCATAATTCGAGTTTTATTGGTAACAGTAAATCAGGCACTATGAAATCCACAGATAACAAGAATGTGCAAGGGCAACCACATACTTTAAGACTATTTTCTAGCTTGGATTCTGAGCTTCTAATGTAGCTCCTTGATTACAAATTCAAATCTCTCATTGATTCAAGACCACAATCTTTCATTTCATTTACGTGAATGGCCACCGGAAAACAGTTAAATATCAGTGCCTTTCTACAAGTAACACCAACACATCTGGACAACCTCATATCACATATATAGTAATGAGTTCAGTGTATTTAGATAATAAAACTAATATTTGGTGATTACCTGCAATAAACAGGATGGATGTTCCAAAAAGGAGAATTCTGAAAGATCACATTGGAAATGATTATGCTTCTAGAATTCTTAAATTCTATGAGATTGGGTCTTGTAAAGGGAAGAGTTCTTTGCCTCCACATGTTCCACCAGATGGCTCCTTGACCATCAATTGTCCCATTTTCACCTGTGGGGAAAATTTCTCAAACTTTAAAGAGAGATTAACAATGAAAGGACAGACATCATATGTTAAGCAATTAATTAAATGCTGAACAGTAGCTATACATGATATTTTGATAACAGTTTATCTGCAAGTACAGCTTTTCTACTATTACTTTTCCTTTTAGTTTTCCTTCTCCAACATTCAGCATCTCTGGTCTAATTGTCTGAATACCATATTAGATAAGATTTTTAAGGTGTACAGAGGAAAGGTGTCTACTAATGTACATTACAAGCCATCACAATAGAATCATGATCTTGTTGGAACCCACCTGTGATCACAACATCACGAAGTCCTTCTCCATGAATAAAACTCATATATCTTCCTCCTGGGCGCTCCCTCCCTCTTCCATAAGATGGCAAGGGAGCAATTAAGGGCCAATTCTGAGTATCCTGAAAATCAAGAAAGGATGAAAGTTAAACATAAACCCCACCTTACCATGGAAGCCAATGTGACAAAACTGAGATCATTTTGAAAGAATTTTATCCATAAGCACAAACATTACAAGATTAATAGGTAAAAGTGTGTAAATAACGTATATGCTGTATTAAATTTGACAAAAGCCTCATCCCATCTTACTACAGCTAGCATCCAACATAAATAAGACATTTTTCCCTCCCCTACCAACACTTACACAAGTCATTGTTTGCTTACAATAATTCAACGGGTTAGCAATCCGAGGCCAAAGAAGTTAAAAGCAATGTTATTTAACCAATAAAATTAAAGCCAATGATTTAGTTTAGCATAATTAAGTTCGTCCCTCATTTTGAGTAACAAATAGAATAAAAGAAATTCCTAAGTTTTACAGACAGATCTTGATCCCAACTTAGTAGCCGACATGATCCAGTGATAGTGAGAAAAAGAAAGATCCTATAAAGTAAGCTTCAAGGGCTTAAATTTTAAGGTTATGTAACCATTTGACAATAAACAATTTTCACAAGTTACTTTTCTCTCCATTGTATTTATCTTTTAACCATATAGAATTTATTACTTAATAGAGGCATGGTTTAATTATTTAAAAAAATAATAATCAGAATTGTCATTATCAAAGCCATGAGTTGTATCCACAAACTTTGCATGGTAGCGGACCAAGAAATATTATACTCTTAACCTTATATCACGATAGACACAGAACATCATCCGCCAGCTATTTGGCAGCCCAACTAGCAGAATTGTTAATTCTTTAAATGCGTTGCACATGCCACCATGCTACATAGACCCGACAGTTTTGCTATGGACCCACCAAAATTCATTCAGATCTCTTCATCCACGACTTTTTACTTAATCACTCTGGTTCAGCCAATACAATGATCCAACTAATAGACATGTCAAGTGTCAACTACATCACAGTACTCAAGACCACACAAAAAAATGTAAATATATTTATATTAACCCAATTCCAAATCCAACCAATTGATATCAACAAAGGCAAGATTCACCCATAAAATATTTATGCAAGCATGTGTAATCTTTGCCAATAACCAACCAGCAAACGTTTCGCATTTCGTTGCATGTAACAAATACAATTTTGGAAGACAAATAAGCCATTTATAAGCATAACTTCTAGAATGTTGTAATCAAACAGTCCATTTTTAAACGATTCAGATTGCATATAACAAGTACAATAATTGCAGAATACTGTTCAATATCAACGAATTATTAAAAATTCACCGACATGTCCTAGTATTTATTGCTCACATTAACTCTTTTTTGTGGTATCAAATTTAACTCCAAACCAGATCATAGTAAATGAGTTACCTGCGTGGCCTTGATAACCGCACCTCTAGCCAAATAAAGAGTCATGTGACTAGTGAGATTGAAACTTTCGGTTAAGTATACCCCAGGAGGCACATAAAGAAGCGTGCCACCTCTTCTCCCCAAATGCTGAATACGATATATCGCCTCACGAAAAGCTTTCGTGTTCAACGTCTTCCCGTCACCGACACCCCCGAAATCGGTGATCGATATCTTATCGTTTCGGTACCTCAACGGTACTATCCCGGAGCACGTTATCACGCTCGCGTGAGAGAAGCAACTAAAATACGATAAAATAACAGAAAAAGAGAGCAAAAACCGAAGCATTTTCGTAATTTTGGAGGTTCAGAAGGACAATTCAGACTTCAGAAGATAAATAAAAATTGTTTATACGAACTTCAGTTGAGCGAAAATCTTATTACTTATATTTATAAATACAGTGACAAAAAGACTGGTACAAAAAGTGCTTTAACTGAGGAAGAGCATACAAAGAGAAAGGTACAAAAAATAGATCTGGAAATAAAAATAGTTACATAAAAAGAAAGCGGCAAAATTATAGCCAAGAGAGAGAGATCTCCATTTGTTTATTGATGGAAGGAAAGAATGAGCTAAATTGTCAACGAAAAAGAGACCTGTTTGAAGCTGAAGAAACTCGTCGGACACCTAAAAAAGGTGAGTCGGAGCTTGGAGATAGAGAGCAAAGAAGGGATTGGATTTGTCTGTAAGCGATTGTCTTCAGGGACAGAGAGTGAGTAATGGAGTTGAAAGATTATTAAAGAGCGTGGGACTGGGAGTCAGGGAGAGCTTGTGTGAACGAGTGGAGGTGACGCGTCACAAGGCGTGGGCCTCTTTAAAGAGTTATTTATCTAATATATGTTTATTCCTTTTCAATTTTATAGGTATTCTTTAGCTTTAGATGCCCGTTGGGAATGAAGAATTCAGCCTCAGAAGATCCCGAGAAGAAGTCCATGAAATTCTCCACCGAATTTTTTAATAAACCAATACGTTGGCTGTCCTGGCTTATTAAATTTCTTTGTTTTGTTACCAAGATTCTCAATTCTGTGTCTGTCATCTACCATAGCCGACTCTACGTCAAATTCTTCTTTACAAATTGGAATATCATGAGCGTTTGATTGTTAGCGTTTATGCCAGCGGTAATGTTTTTAAACGAGGACGAAATACAAAAATCAGCCCAAGGTATCTGACGAGCCCAAGTCTGAGGCAAGCCCAATTAACCTTTTCTTTTTATTTTATTGATAAAGAAGAGGCCCATCAACCTTGACCATCAAGAGATTGAATTACAAATAGGAGTTAGGGGTGAACCGTTTGGGATACCTTATATTTTTGGGAAATCAGAACCAGAATTGTAGGTGCATTCTCAAAAAAGGAATCGAATTACCCCCTATTAGTTTAAAAATGACAAAATATCTTAAAAATTTATAAATCACCCCTAACAATTAAGAAACCCCATATTTAGTGTTTCAACTTTTGATTACTCATTCATTTGTTATCCAATGTGACTCATAAATCCTCTAATCTTCAGGTAACACTTGAATTTAATCAATTCATCACAATTAATATAAATTTCTCAAATAAAACCAAAACACAAACATGTTCCAAGCCGAGTATTCGCTTCAAGTTCTTTTCACAGTTTTGGTTCTGAAACCTGTGGGAACCGGACAAGAATAGCATAGTGTTGGTTCCAATAAAATGGAACCGGAACCACTAGCAAGCACAATGTCGATTTCAGGTAGGTTTCGATCCACCCGTAAGTTCTGATTCTACCATTACTCATGCTCACCCCTAATAGGGTTGTGCGTGGTGAATTACAATCTTGTGGAAATTCAATAATCAAGAATATTAGTTTAATTACCTATTTTTCTTTATGATCTTAGTTGTATTCGGTTTCGGTAGAATTGCACCTAAAAACTACTCAAAGAGCAAAAAACCTAATTATATATAACACGTTATAACAACCCAGTAAATTCAGGACATGAGACAAAACAATTCAAACAGAGATAGCATTATGATTGTAAGGTTACTATCTTTGAGTGATAATAGTTTGATATGACTCATAAATAATTATTCAAGAAGTCCTATTAATTTTTTAATTGCTGATAAAGTAGCATTGAATTTACTTTATTAATATTTTAGAGTTCGAATAATTAATTAAAATATGTATAAATTAGTTCCGACAACATGTTTATAAAAAAAAAAATAAGACATAGAAACAAAATTGATTTGGATATAATACAAAATTCCCGCCTCAAATCACGAGCAACCCACGTGCAAGCTAGTGCCTAGAGGCTTACAATTAACTAATTAAGTAATTAACCTTCAATTCACTCCTTATTTTCTAATGGTTTAATGGATGAGATCATTTCACGGGCTGTTACAAATAAGTTGATCACCACCCGTCCACCCCATCCCACGTTCTTTGGTCAATTTCCTTAACGCGTCTTTTCAACGAGGTCCGAGGACACGTCCCCACTGACGTCACTTCCCACTTTCTCTCACACAATTACTTTTCACCCCATTCCCCTATGTCAAATTTAAATATTTCGCTCTAATGAAGACGATTCTGATGGCAAGAAGTAAATATAATGTACGAACCTATTGAAAAAAATCTCGGGCAGCACCCAGCCAGTAACTATCGTCGAGAAATGTCAACCTATTATCGTGTACGCTAAGCCTACAGTTACAAGGGGTTAACAATTACCTCCTCAAGGTTTAGAAAGTAACAAAAAAACCCCCAGAATATCGCTCACAGGAGTCACACCTATCAATATATGGGTTCACTGTACTTTCCTCCAAGTTGCAACTGCTAAAATCAAATGTGAACCCAACCACATCAAGACACAGAGCCGAACGAACCGCAAGTCCTCTACTCCTGACACGTGTTTGGAAGTCGTGCTTCCCGCTGCCCGTTTTTCAATCTTTCGTAGTCAACATTCCACAAACAAGCTGCCCAATCTTTATCATCTTACCTTGTATATAAATATTCAAATTGCCATCACATTTCATTAACTCTACAAAATGGGCAGCATCTCCTCCTCACCGTCACCGTGTTCTTCTTTATTCTCGCACTCTCACATGCTCGTACTCCGTATCTGCCAGAAAATGAAGTCGTCGTTAGCGATCTCGCAACTGATTTGACAGAATCGAACCCCAAAACAACCTACCGCCACAAGGACGATTATTCTTCCAAGCGAAGCCCAAGACCGAGTCTGAAACCGAAACTGCAGGGGGTATCGAATCCGACTCAACCGGGAAAGCTGAATAGAGACCAACGAGTTTTCAGCCGTTGACTGTGAATAACTTCCGTCCATTAACCGTCAGTTCCCTCACGTCCATCGCTCCACCACCGTCACCTCGCCCCTGCCTCAGCACCGTTTCGGCAAGCCATGGGGACCATCACGGTTCCCTCATCGCGAGATACCGTATGGTAACGACATGTTGATGTCATCATCATCAGTTGAGGAAGGAGTTATGAGCCCCGCGAGGTGGGTGTATTATATCACACAGAGATACGAGTGGGCCCAGTTCCCATTCTGGCGTGATGATGGCGTAGCGAGGGGGTGAGGACTTCAAGAGGCTACATCACTTCCACCGCCACCACCACCATCACCACCACATGGAGGAGAGGCGAGGAGGGGAGAGAAGGACATGAACACGAGCGTGGATTCTTGGTGAAGATCCGCAAGTTCTTGAATCATTTTTAGAAAATGAATACTATAGTTGATGCTGATGCTGATGCACCACCTTGTTTAGGATTGTGTGCGAGTGTTCTACATTAGTTGTTGAGTTACTGGTTTGCTTGTATGTATGTTTGTGTCGTAATAAATAATTTTACGTCTGTCGAAGATGTAGAGATATACGTGCATTAGCATGTTTCTTTTATCGATCTTTTGTAGTTTATACTTGTTGGATTGTTCTTTCTCTTCGCTTTGAATTATGATTTATTTCTGGAGATTATGTTGCGAAAGTGATATTATTCATTGAATTGATGCATAACTCATCAAACTTTATTAATAATTTGAATTGAGATGAAAAATAAATAACAACTCAGACGTAAGTAGAACATGAGCCAGTCTGTTGGGAGCTGTCAGTTCAGAACAAGGCCATGGTTTTACCTGATAAGCATTCCACTTATATCAGAGCACTGAAAGGAGGAGATGTTGGTCCTTTGACACCATGAAGGTTAATGTCGGAGAGGCAAATTCCGGTGAAGGGAGAGTTCTTCAAGCCTTTTTGAACCGAATCTAGGACCTTCACACCCCAAACTTCTTAATTGTGATGCCCTTTACGACTAGGAAGCTAGGTTAGTCTCGTCCGGGTGATCGCCAACATCTCCTCTATTTTTATTCCCTTCCTGGCACCTTCCATATCACACCAGACACGTGATATTTCTTATAAATCCTCCCCTACCAATGTTTGTCTTCACATGTATACCAACTCCCACATTGTAAAGGTTAATGTCTCACCGAAGACATTCTCTACTCCGCAAGGTTTCACTTCCAACCAACTATCCAGCAAATGGTACGATCTTAATTCCCTGATGACGATGCCAGAACTAGGACGACCATAATTATCTCCATATTCACCCATCCACTCTTCACAGCCACAAGATCATCCCAGTAGAGATGTAAGAGTCTTCTATCGCATACATAGAGCTTGAATCGGCAAATCATTCATGAAATTTTGATTCAGTAGAAATTAAAAATGACCATGCTCAATATTTATCATGCTTTCTAAAACCCCTGTATTGAATGTGTATATCCATAGAAGTGAAAGACGCTTAGGTCCTAGGGGGAACTACAAGAACTGCATGAACAGAAATAACAAATGACCCTAAACCCTAAACTGTTTATCCATCGTTAGCTATTGCACAAAGTTGCTACAAAGGTTTGTTCCATCTATTGGGTATACTTCTTACCATTATATGGAGTATAGGAAAAAATAAACGAACAACAAATCTTGCATTTACAAGATGAGAATAGACAACACTGCATATAAATCACAATAAGTATCTCCAGGCTCTATTCCTTTTGTTGGCAGCATGTACTTACAATGCCAGACTCTAGCAGCTTGCAAGTACTCTGTCTGTTGTTCTTGTCACATTAGGATAATGTTTGGCAATTCTAGAATTTCTGCTCATGTGTGTGTATGTGTGGTTATATTGACAAACAACCAGAGACAAAAGATATCATAACAACTTTGCACAAAAGCAAATACCTGTCAATTCCATCAGTATTGGGAGAGTCTAATGGACCAAGATAGTAACATATCGGATAACGACATTGCTGCAAGAAGAAGAAACATCAACCAGTTTCAACTCTACCTGTAATATTATTCAGCTGAATCAAAAGGAACTGGGTAGAACTCAAAGATGGTTGAGAAAATTTTTCTAGTCTCTCACCATTCAGGATAATGAAATCAGCTCATAATTCGTTTTATTGGACAGTAAACGGCACTATGAAATCCAATAACAAGAATGTGCAGGGCAACCCAACTTTAAGACTATTTTCTAGCTTGGATTCTGAGCTTCTAATGTAGCTCTTATTACAAATTCAAATCTCTCATTGATTCAAGACCCAATCTTTCATTTCATTTACGTGAATGGCCACCGGAAAACAGTTAAATATCAGTGCCTTTCTACAAGTAACACCAACACATCTGGACAACCTCATATCACATTATAGTAATGAGTTCAGTGTATTTAGATAATAAAACTAATTTTGGTGATTACCTGCAATAAACAGGATGGATTTCCAAAAGGAGAATTCTGAAAGATCACATTGGAAATGATTATCTTCTAGAATTCTTAATTCTATGAGA